ATAAAGATAAACCTCTAGCTATGTTTTCAACAACAATGGCAACAAAAATTCCCATTCTCAGGAATGAAAAGGGGACATAAATACAGATATTAAAAGAATCAAAGAAAATCAAGGATAACTATGTACTAATGAATCCAACTACTTAGATGATATGGAAAATTCCTTAAAACATAAAATTATCAAAATTGGCACAAGAAAAAAATATCTAATGATCACTGCATCTGTTATAGATAGCAAAATCATAATTTAAAAAATTCCTTGCAACGAAACTCTAGACCCAGATGGATTCCTTGCTAAACTCTATCAAACATTTGAGAAAGACCAATCTTACTATTTTATAAAAATAGAGGAACTATTCCAATTCATATAATGAGGCCAGTATGACCATGAAAAAAACTCAGAAGAATATTGTGAGAAAATAAAAATATCCACATTTCTGTCCATAGGAAAAGAATGAAGTGACCCTACCTCACACTATTAAACAAGAATTAATTTGTGATGACTCATAGACCTAAACATAAAAGAAAAAACTATAATCTTTCTAAAACAAAATAGAGCAAATATTTGTGTGACCTTACGGTTAAGCAAAGCTTTCTTAAGTTTCCATACAGGACTGCCCTGCCAAAAAAAAAAAAAAAGTCATTATAAACTAACACATAAGTGAAAAAGGGAAACACTTGAAAAAGAACTTCTCAAAAGAAAACATACCAAGGCATACCCATTAGAATGACAAAATTGAAAATGACTGACGACCCCAAATGTTGGGAAGGATGTGGAAAGGTCTGAACTCTTGCACTTCACTGCTGGAAGTATAGAATGGTACAGTCACTTTCAAAAGCACCTTGTCAAGTATTTTTGTAGTTGAGTATACGTAAGATCCAACAAGTCTACTTCTCCGGAGAAATGAAAACGTGCCCACAGAGGGACTTGTGCCCCAAATGCATAGAAATATTTGTGGTGGCCAGAAGTCACAGAGTCCAGGTGTCCATTAAGAGGAGCATAGATATGCAAATTATTATGTCTTTACACAATGTAATTCTCAGCAAAGGAAAGAAAACCATTGTAATCATGAAAAACAAAGTACATCTCAATGAGCATATACTGAAAGAAAAAAGCCCACCACCAAAGAGTCATACTCATATTGTATGACTGCATGTCTGTGCCATTCTAAAAGAGGCTAAACTAGCGATAAGAATCAGAAAATCGGAACAATGGCTGCCTCTCAGGGAAGGGAATTGACTGGGAAAGGGCATGAAGGACTGTTGGGAGAGATAACAAACTATACACACAGATCCCATCTCCCAGTGTCACCTCAGACCACGTGAATCCATTTCTTTGCTTGGGATCTCACTCGTCCTGTCCTTCCCTACCCTAATGCACCAGGTCATTCCATGAATGGTGAAGAGTTGAGAAAAACTCTCATGAACCTCTAAATTCTGTCACCAAGCACTATGTGTCTTTCATTTTGCAAATAGGAAATATAAAATATGTCCATTCGAATGAGATTCCCTTATATAAATGGAAAAAGTAACAAAAATAAAAACGAATGGTGCCATTACTGTTTTATAGCAGAATAAATAGAAAAGATCTTATTAGTGCTCAAAAAAACTAAATTTAAAACTTAACAACAAAAAACAAATGATGTTATTATTGTTTTATGCCAGAATAAATGCAAAAGGCCCCTTGGAGTGCTAAAACAGGCATTTCTGTGGATAAAAATACACACGTCTGGTGAGAAGAGAATTCAGGACTAACATGCTGCCATTTTGTACCTTGACTGCCAATAAGGTCAGAACCAATTTCAGTGCTCAGTCTGGTGATTAACATTCCAGATGCTTAATATGCCAGTTTTTCTTAAGGGGAAGGGTACATAGGTGAGGGCATTACTATACTGTTTTATACTGTAAGCTAGATCAAATCATTTAGGGAAAATGATGGTATGGTTAATCATATAAAATGTTGGCCACTGTGATTTTTTTAAATGTGAAGATGTAAATACATTACATGTTTCTTGCTCTTATCAAAAAGGGTTAGAATAGGAAGGATTTTTGCTGTTGCCTGAATAAGTTATCTGCTAAAGGGAAGTCACTATCTAGTCAAAGGACAGAAATGATGCAAAGACTATATCATTTTAAAATATCAACCATACTGACCAAGAAACACTTTACTTACATTTGATTAGAAGGGTTAGACTTGAGGAACCAACGTAAACATCTAAAATATGTTAAGAGTCCCTAATGGATCATAGATGACATAAAAAATTTAAGTGCACTTCATTACATTCTTAGGATAAAGAAAGAAATCAGATCTGTACGCAAGTGGGCTTGGCACCATTCTTTTTCTATGATAACTGGTGTCGGCTACTTTGATTTTATCAGCTGGAAAGGATATTTTTGTCCCTTCTCATTTCACAAAACCATATAACCTTGGCCCTTAGGAGAAAATAAAACATATTTATTCCAAAAGGGTGTACGCTAATGTTTAACATTAAAAACCAAAACAATAGAAAGGAAGAAGATGACAAACCTCTCACCTGAGCAGTTTCCTGGTTAGACACTGGGAAAGGGCATGAAGGCACTTCCTCCCTAGCCACTTGCCTCCGTGTTGCACGCGCCTCAGCATGGGGAGCAGTTTTCTCTGTTAGCCTATTTCGCATCTGATTGAATTGTTTTGTTACAGCCTTTCTTTGTGAATCAACCTGTTGATAGCGAGTAACAAATATATAGAGAACGAAAACTTATGACATCAAACAAAAAAAAAAACATTCATGTATAGATTTTTGAAAATTCTCAACTTGCTCAACTTGCCAAAAGGAAAAAAAAATGAAGAAAGAAGAAAGCAACAAATGGGCAGTATAGAAAAAATATCGTAGTTGGTAAGATCCAGCTCCTTCCTCATCAACAGGATGAGAACAATGAAAATTCATGTCCCTGTTATGTACTCTTTAGAAGTGATCTCTACAGATAAAATGCTTGTTGAAAACAGCATTTTTACAGAAAACTGTCACATTTTAAAACTGCGTATGAAATTCATTATTAACCTTTGCTGGGAGTGGATCCAGTACATCTTTGTAGTTTAAATTCTTTTTAATTAAACTCTTAGTCAGTTTTCTATCACTGAAGTGAGCCTAATTAATGTGAAAATATAAAAGGAGCTTATGATGTTGCTTATTTTTTTATGCAGGTAACTTAAGCTTATAGCGAGATGAGTAACAGTTCTTGTCACCCAATGCTGTGTACCAGGTGTTAAGTTCTACAGTAAGCTTGATATCTCTAAGGTTACTATTTGACACCATAGAGAAATCTGGGGACGACTGACTATCAATAACCTTGAAGCAGACTCAGAAATAGAAGAGCAGATTCCACAATACAGCTGGGAGATTGAAAGTTACAGTGAAGATTCTTATGTGAAATATTTGTTCAAGCAGCTTCATGTTTAGAGCAGCTGAAAGTGTCATCACCTTCTTTCATGGGCTAAATAGGGGGCAGATGATAGGAACCTTACAAAGGGAAATAATGGAGTAGCCAGTGCCAAGACAGAGGATGAATTACATTGGCGGGGCAAGCAGAGCCTTAATTTGTAGTCCCTTGAATTTTAGCTACTACTGCCAACTGTGTTCACTCCTTCCTCCCCTTTAAAACATGCTGGTGTTTTGTGGCTAGGTCTAAGTTGTCACAACACCATTCTTTATTCCCCTTCCTCCCATGATCCCAGCTATCAATGGATGGCAAAACCATTGCCTTTCAGTAACCTGCAAATTGGAAATGCTTCTTAATTATTCAGAGGTTCTTTATTTCCACCATCCAACCCTCCCAAACAACTGGGAAAATTCATGTGTAACCGCCTCCTCAGCCACTCTTCTAGGGAAGTCACGTTGGTAATAAATGTATATCGTATCAATCGTGTGGAACAAAAGGATTCCCAAGGTTTTGCATACTGTGTTATCCTATTTAAAAAACTGGCTTACCAATTAGTGTGAAATGTCTTCTACAAAATGAAGGATTGTTGTTGTTAGGTGCCATTGAGTGGACACCAATTCATAGAGGCCCTATACACATCAGAATGATAAAACTGCCCAGTCCTGGGCCAACCTCACAATCGTTGCTATACCTCAGCCCATTGCTGCTGCCACCACTGTGCCATTCCATGTAGTTGGGAGTCTTCCTCCTTTCTGACCCTCCACATTACCAAAGATGATAACCTTCTCCAGGGACTGGTCCCTCCTGACAATATGTCTGAAGTATGAGAGGCAAAGTCTGGCCATCCTGGCTTCCAAAGAGTTTCTTTGGCTGCATTTCTAACACAGATGTATGGTTTTTTTTTTGGCAGTTTGTGATACTTTAATATTCTCCTCCAACTCCTTAACTCAAATGCATCACTTTTTCTATGGTCTACCTTAATCACTGTCCAATTTTTGCATAAATGTGAAGTTACTGAAAATACCATGGCTTGGGTCAGGTGCACCTTAGTCCTCAAACTGACATCTTTGCTCTTCAACACTTTAAAGATTAGAGGTCTTGTGCAGCAGATATGCCCAGTGCAATACATTGTTTGATTTCTTGCTTGTTGCTTCCATGAGTGTTAATGGTTGATCCAAACAAAATGAAGTGTTTCATAACTCCAATACTTTCTCCATTCATATGGATATTGTTCATTGGTTCACTGGTGAGTATTAAAAGTTTTCCTTACACTGAGATGCAACCTATAATAAAGGCTGTGGTCTTTGAGCTTCATATCAGTAAGTAGTTTAAGTCTCATTCACTTTCAACAACAATGAAATCTTCCTCCAATCCTGATGCCACATTTTTCTTCATATAATCTAGGTTCTTGGATTATGTACTCATCATATACAATAAGTATGGTGAAAGAACACAAACCTGGCACACACCTTTCCTGATTAAAAACCGTTCAGTGTTCCCTTTTTCTGTTCAAACAACTGTTTCTTGGTCTATGTACAGGCTCCTCATGAGCACAATTAAGTGTTCTAGAATACTCATTTTTTCACAATATTGTCCATAGCTTGTCATGATCCACACAATCGAAAGCCTTTGCGTAGTCAATAAAGCACAGGTAAACATCTTTCTGGTATTCTCTGCTTTCAGCCAAGATCCATCTGACATAGCAATGATATCCCTCATTCCATGTCCTCTTCTGAGTCCAGCTTGAACCTCTGGAAGTTCTCTGTCAGTGTATGATTGCAGTCATTTTTGTATTAACTTTAGGAAAACTTGACACTCATAGGATATCAATGATATTTTCCAATGATTTCTGCAATCCATTAGGTCACCTCTCTTTGGAATGGGCACAAATACAGATCTCTTCCAGTCAGTAGGCCAGACAGTTGTCTTCCAAATTTCTTGGCATAGATGAATGAGTGCCTCCACTGCTGCATCATTCAGGCTGTTAAAAAATTTCAATTTGTATTCCATCTATTCCTGGTCTCTTGTTCTTTGCCAATGCCTTTAATGCACCTTGGATTTATTTCTTCAGGATCATTGGCTCTTGATCACATGCTACCTCTTGAAATGGCTGAACACTGACCAACTCTTTTTGGTACAATGATTCTGTGTATTCCTTCCATCTTTTTTTCATGCTTTCTGCTTCATTCAATATTTTTGCCCATGGAATCCTTTAATAATGAAAGTCGAGGTTTGAATTTTTTCTTTAGTTCCCTCGCTTGAGAAATGATGAGTGTGTTCTTCCCTTGTGGATTTCTAACTCCAGATCTTTGCATATTTCATTATAATATTTGACTTTGTTTTCTTGAGCTGCCTTTTGAAATCTTCTGTTCAGCTCTTGTACCGCCTCACTTCTTCCATTTGCTTTAAGCATTTCTACACTGGAGAGCAAGTTTCAGAGTCTCTTTTGACATCCACTTTGTTCTTTTACTTCTTTCTCATCTTCTTAATGACCTTTTGTTTTCTTCCTGTATGACTTTCTTGATGTTATCCCACAACTCCTCTGGTCTTTGATTTTTAGTGTCTAATGCATCAAATATGTTCTTCAGATGATCTCTAAATTCAGGTGGGATATATTCAAGGTCCTATTTTGCCTCTGGTGGGCTTGTTTTAATTTTCTTCAGCTTCAGCCTGAACTTGCATATGAACAATTGATGGTCTGTTCCACAGTCTGCCCTGCCATTGTTTTGGCTCATGATATGGAGCTTTTCCACTGTCTCTTTCTGTAGATGTAGTCAATTTGATTTCTGTGTTTTCCATCTGGTGAGGTCCATGTGTACAGCTGTCTTTTATGTTTTTAAAAAAATGTATTTGTAATGAGTAGACACTGGTCTTGTAAAATTCTATCATGAGATCTCCAGCATAGTATGAAGGATTAGTTGAGATACTGTTTTAGTGCCTTTTATATGCTAGGCAGTGGGATGAGTTTGGTTTATATGCTAGATACTTTTGATGTATACAGTTTTTGACGTGGGAGTCTCTGATAAATAAACAGAAACTACTATATAATATACTCAGCCTCTACGAAGCTTCCTGGGAGAGATAATGCCTCTAGGATTGGCTGTCAGTTAGCAAGATTGTTAGGTTGAGCTACCATGGGCTCTTCTAGCTAACAAAATTATATCCAATACATAGAAAATGTCTATTTCTAGGGAAACTTTAAAAATGGTTAAGAAAGAGTTAGTGGGATGATGAGGCTTAACTCTTAGATGTGTACAGAATGAAAGAAAAGGATGTAAGAAAATACCCTGGACATCCCACATAATCAAATCAAGGCTACTATCCAGATGTGTGATACTTTCAAGAATATACCCATTGAAATGAGGCAATATTCATTTAATTTCCACTGGCAATGAACACTAGTCTATGAAATCGGGGATGACTTTGGATTCCAAAAACTCAGTAAGTCAAAGAAATATAGAATTTGTAGTTTACTTTTCTTATATATAAAACAACAACAACAAAACAAGATGCTTCATAGGGTAGTTTGAAAAAGGAAAGTTCAGGAACGAATTTTGTAAAATTTAAGTGCTATACAACAATTGGAGTCCTGGTGTGGCGCTGTGGGCTAATGCGTCAGACTGCAAAGCCATTTGAATTGCAAGGTCGGTGGTTCAAGCTCACCAGTTGCTCCTCAGAAACCCCATATAGGGTCGCTATGGGTTGGAACCAACTCGACGGCACTTAACAACAACAACATACAAAGACGACTACTCTGAATAACCAATGAGTCACCTCTAGATTTGCTGTGGGGCACACAGATTTATGGTGAATGAAGGAACAGGCCTTTACTATGTGACATGTAGGATGGTGTGAACACTGTAACCCTGGCTTACAGCCACTTCTCTTACCCTTAGGAAGGGTGGGTGGCTTGGTATGCTCCTGAGTACGCGACGATAATATGAATTCAGGCACTGCAATCAAGACGAGGATACTGGTAAAATGCCTAATAGGACTTATGACTCTCCAAGATTGAAGCTGGCCTTCAATAATGCTGGTTTCCCAGACTGACTTAGCACTCCCATCTGGGAATTCTACAGCTTACCTCCAAGTAAGCATTCTTACTGAAATGTGATTCTCTTCAGTCAGTTTTGGAGACTGAATCCCTGTGAATGGGTAGCCCTGGTGACAGATTCTTCTCACGTGACAGTGGTACTTCAGGAGCTGCCGGAACTTCTAGGGAGAGCTTTCAACTGTACATACCATCATTTCAATGGAGCAAAATACCCAGCAAGATTTGCTTTTAAGGGAAAAGTATCACTTTCACGGACAGAGAAGAACTGTCCCAGAGGGTTTTGAAGGCTGTAATCTTTACAGAAGCAGACAGCTACATCTTTGTCCCATGGAGCAGTTTGTGGGTTCCCACCGCCAACTTTTTGGTAAACAACCGAGCACTTTAACCACAGTATCACCAGGGCTAAATATAACTACTTATACTAAAGGAGAAGCCCTGCGTGGCATTGTTGGTTAATGCGATGGATTGCAAAGTCGGTTTGAAGAGCAAGGTCGTTGGTTCAAGCTCACCAGCCCCTCCCCAGAAACACTATCTAGGGTCCTATGGGTCAAAACTGCCTTGATGGCACACAACAACATACTAAAGGAAATAACCTTTATGATTTTTTTAAATTAAACACTCAAGACTTCTTTTTATTTTGAATACTAGAATAAAAAAAGAATAAAACACTGTTGAGTCAATTCTGACTCCTAGCAACACTATAGGGCAGCACAGAACTGCCCCACTGGGTTTTCAAGGCACAAGTCTTTATGGAAGCAGACAGCCAAATGTTGCTCCTGCAGAGCGGGTTTAAGCTGACAATCTTCCTGCTACAGCCAACCACTCAACCACTGTGCCACCTGGGCTCATAGAAGCATATGATTCACATCTACATACATGCAGTCTCTGGTTATGAACATCCAACTTAAGTACAACCCGCATTTGCACTTAAACGTTGCATAAATGTGTCCTCATTTCTAAATGACTGAACTAACCCCTTGTCACAACAAATTGTTCATCACAATCACCTTCACTTCCGGCCCCTGCAGCTTTTAATTCACTGAAAAGACTTCCAGCACCAAAGTGAGGCTGAATAAGAACCTTATGCACCTGTACTGACTCACCTACAAATTCCACTTAAAGACATAGCAGTAGATCTCATTTGAAACCCAGGGATGGCCTGCATGTTTTCTGGGTCCAGAACTTCATTACTTAAGTACTTTTGTCCAAAAAAGTACAACTCTGAACTTCATCCACTAGTCTGTTAGACAACTAAAGTGATCCAACAAGATATTTTTAGTTTCTATTAAAGGAATTCTGATGAAAATGAGAGAAACTTGGGGCTATGTGACAGCTCTTCATTCTGGCCTTTCAGTGTTTTCTGCTATGCATGCAGTCTAGTGTGGAAATCATCCTGTACTTGCATAACTCAGGGAAAGTGAGTACAGGGCAGGTCAGGTCACCAGGCTTTGCTTTGGAACATTTTCAAACTTGGTTTTTATCATAATACCCCTTAAAAGTAGGGGGAACCTATACTGCATGTATACTGTCATTAAATATATTTGTGTACTTAAGATATTAGAGAAATAAAATGATCATCAAATAGATATTGATCTGCTCTTGTAAAATCCATCTTCAGATCATCTTCCTGCCTATATATCCAGGCTGCATTCATTGTTAACAGAAATTAACTTAGGGCTTAAGAATGCATGTGATTCTTAGTACATTCTTTTTACTCATAATCAAAGTGCTCTAATTAAAAAAAAGGAATAAAATATTTTTGATGGCGGCTCTTTGGGAAAAAGTGTTTTATGTTCTATTCTCTGCATATAAAAATGGTTTCACAATAAACATTCTTTCCATTTAATTCTGGTGGATAATAATTAGAATTTTATATCAGAGGATACAGCTATCAGTTTTCAAAATGACTTCTTTTATATTTCAATTAAGTTTATGAAACTGAAAAACTACAAAAAAGGAAGAAAAAAACACCCCCAAAACCCTACTTAAATTAGTGTAGATTAAGGGGTGACCATTATTGCAAAGGAAATACTGTGTCAAGGAAATGACTCTTGTTTTGTTGCAAGAGTGATAAAAAAACACAAAAGTCAATAAAACTGTTAAAATAAGTTTCAGTAATCATCAAGATCAAAATCCAGTGGCTTTTTATTAAACATGAACTTTTGTTCTGCCTTCTGCAATACGTAAATAGTGCTGACAATTGGTTTGTGAGGCACTTGCTACAATAAAATGTAATTGTATCATGAGAGAAAGGTGACAATCAGGAGATCATGAAAAAATTACATATTCTCACTGGTAGTTAATTAGCCATGCAAAACCTCCTCAAACAGATATTCTCTTCTATTAGGAATGATTACTATGCAGGACTGCAGATGTCAATACCACAGCCATTCAAATACTTCTTTCCTTACTAATTGAAGGTTGTAAAGCTCTGGTGCCAAGGTTTTGCTTCCAAAGAGCTAATTTATGACTAGAAGGATATTTTATGTCTTCAGTTGCAGCAGCTACAAAATTCAGCAAATCAGAGCCATCTGTGCGCTGATACTTGACTCACCCTTCATCTAGCAGCCTATCAGTCACACTAGTTTGCATCCTGCATTCTTGGCTCCTGAACATTTGTGATGATCCAAAGTTCATAAGAAATATTAAAAATGAATGGCATCCTGACCTGGCCTTATTGTATACACAACAGAAGAACAAAGACCCCTACAAAAATAAATTTTTAAAACGAAAACAACAAAAGCACTACGCCGTTTCTATTGTATATGGATAGTTGTAGTTACGTGCTGTCCTGTCAGTTCCGACTCGAACTGACCCAGTATAGGATTTCCAAGGAGCAGCTGGTGGATTTGGACTGTCTACCTTATGGTTCATAGTCCGGTGCTGATCCACTAGCAGGAGTCCATATGGATGGACTTATTTGCTTATCCAGTAATATTGCTAGCAGCAGGCTCATGCTTCCCCTACCCTCTCTTAAAATATTGTTGGTGTTGTTGTTAAGTGCCATCGAGTCAGTTCTAACTCATCGAGACAGTGTATATGGCTTCTAAGGAGCAACTGGTGGGCTTAAACTGCTGACCTGTGGTTCTGAGTTCAGTGCTTATCCTACAGTGCCATGTCAGTTTTTATTGTTCCATGTTCTGATTTTCTTCTTGTATGTATTTATTTATTTTGTTAGATAAATAGCAAAAATAAATAAATGAGGGAGTCAGTTGGAAGGTGCAACTTTTCTCATTTAAAATAACTCATAGCTCATTTAAAATAAATTTTTTCTACACATTGAAATACCAACACATAGAAACAATCTGGCTCAATCTGAGAATATTATTATCATCACCAAAAGTATGGCCAGACTTGCAGACAAAAACAGGGCAATAAAGAAATAAATAAAGGATCACACTAACAAAGTTGTACTGTCCTTTAATCTTGCCCTGACCAGATCCCCACAACCTCATGGATTGCTGTATTCCTTTAACTAGAACACGACAGGCCACCTGCCCCTGCTCTTTTTCTCTAAGAACTTTCAACAAACTTTCTCCTTGAAGGCTGAGAACTTTAGTTACTGTTAAGGTAACTAAGAATTAAATATAATGAACAAGAAACCGGGTTGGCAGACTCATTTTGAAGGTTAAAACAACTTCATTTGGTAGAAAAGGATCCCAGGGACTAGGTTACTTACGTTTTGATTGTTTGGAGTACGCACGTTTACACTATGTCCACGAGTGGAAAATTCCAGTGGTCCAAAAGGTATTCCACCAGGGTTCAGAATTTTCTTGAGCTTTTCATAGTTTGGCTTTTCATCATATCCTAAACTATAAGTGCATTCCAAATACTGAGCTATTTCACCTGTGAAGTATTAAAAATGTTTTAAGTCATTCATAATTGGCAAGAACTGTCCAGACTCTAATCGCTTTAAACTTTCTTTGTTTTCTCTATCTTGCTTACACACATGAACATACACAGAGAGAGGGCCTAAAGACACTAAGAATGAAACAATTCAGGAAAAAGCACTTCTTTTTAACATGCACTGAAAAAAACAGACTGCAATAGAGTGACCTACAAATTTGGGAATTCCGAGAACTGATCAGCTTTTAATCTTTGCTGAGGTGTTTATAATTCATTAATCTTAAAAAAGTAAGCAAATTTTAATAATCACAGTTAGTTACTGAATTTAATTTATGGGATGCAACTACTAAGAGCTATATGAATAATATAATAGTCCAGACAAGTTTCATGCTTTGTCTTAAAACTTAAACTTTTAGAAATTCAGTTAAAAACACCATAAAAGACATCGCCACCAAGTTGACTTTGACTCCTAGTGATCCTATACGACAGAGTAGAACTAGCCCATAAAGTTTCCAAGGAACTCTTTATGAAGCCACCAGGGATCCTTAGTTCAAAACAAGTGTTCCTTAATATAAGCCTTATTTGTAATTATAACAGCCTATTCAAAAGTGACTTCGACATCTACTGTTTTTAAAAGCCATAATTGGCTTTAGAATGTGCCCGTCCCCTTCAAGTCCTCCCTAAGTGAAGCCTGTGTGAAGGCCGGTGCTTTTACTGCTTGTCTCCCTGGTTAGCCAGCAGAAGGAGGAGAAGTAGCTAACTTTATCTTCTGTAATGTAATCTCTAATTACTCTATGGCTACAGTCACTTCCCCCACACACACACACAAACTATGAATTACAAACGTTTAACTACACATAGAATTAGTAACCAAAAGTTAAAACATAGCTGCTTTTATATGTATATAGTTTCAGTATAATGAAATGTGCAAAGGTCTGGATTTAGAAAACTAAAAGGGAACATGCAGCGTTTCTCAAGCTGAAAGCACTGAAGACAAAAATTCAAATAATATAAATATTGAAATTTATATTTAGATACTGAAATATTGAAGGATTCTATGGGTAAAATACTGAATGATGTAGGAACCATCAAAAGAAGAGGGGAAGAAATACACAGTTACAGTATCAAAAAGAATTAGTTGGCATTCAACTATTTCAGGAGGTAGCATATGATCAAGAACCAATGGTACTGAAGGACGAAATCTAAACTGCACTGAAGGTATTAGTGAAAAACAAAGCTCCAGGAACTGATGGAAAACAAATGGAAACATTTCAACAAACTGACACAGTTTACAGGCACCCACTCTTCCAGATGTGGTGCTGTGGGATAAAGCACTGGACTGCAAGGTCAGTTAGAACCACAAGATCAGTGGTTCAAACTCACTAGCTGCTTCTTGGAAACCTTATACAGGGTCGCTATGAGTGGGAACCAACTCAACAGCACTAAACAACAACAATACTCGTCTATGCCAAGAAATTCGGAAGACAGCTACCTAGCCAAGTGACTTAAAGAGATCAATATTTGTACCATTCCAAAGAAAGGTGATCCACCAGGATGTGGAAATTATCTAACAACAGCCTTAACATCACATGTAAGAAAAAATTTGAAGATAATTCAAAAACGGTTGCAATAGTACAGTCACTTAAGATTCAGAAGAGGACGTGGATCAAGTGATATGATTGCTAATTATCAGACAGAGCATGACTAAAAGAGAGAATACCAGAAAGATGTTTAGGTATGTTTCTTTGACTACGCAAAGGGACTCGACTATGTGCATCATTAACAAATTAAGGATAATATTGAGAAGAATGGTAATTCCAGAACACTTAATTTTGATCATATAGAACCTATACATAGACCAGGAAACATCTGTTAAAACAGAACAAGGAGATATTGTGTACTTTAAAATCAGGAAAAGTGTGTCAGAGTTGCACACTCTCAATATATTAAGCTGGACTGTCTGATGAAGGACAGGAATCAGGACTGGAGGAAGACTCATTAACAACCTACAAGAAGACTCATATACAATCTTGCTTGCTGAAAGCTAAGAGACTTGAAGAACTTACTGATGAAGATCAAAGACTATAGCTTTCAGTATAGATTACTCATAAAGAAAAAAAAAATCCTTACAATTGGATTTGTGTTAAATGGAGAAAAGATTAAAGTTGTCAAGGATTGTATTTTACTTAGATCCACAACCAACACCATGCAAACAACACTTAGAAAATCAAATGCCATATTACATTGGGCAACTCTGTTACAAAAGAGTTCTTTAAAATGCTGAAGAGCAAAGATGTCACTTTGATGACTAAGGTGTGCCTCACCCAAGTCATCGACCAATTCATCTGCATGCAAAAGCTGAGTAATGAGTAAAGAAACCTGAAGAATTGTTACATCTGAATTATGTTGTTGGAGGTGAATAATATTAAATATACCATGGACTGTCAGAAAAACAAACAAATCTGTGTTGGAAAAAGTACAGCCAGAATGCTCCTGAGAAGTGAGGAAGGTGAGATTTCATCTCAGGTATACTGGACATGCTATCACAGAAGGGACCTGTGCCTGGAGAAGGACATCATGTTGGAAAAGTAGAGGGTAAGCGAAACAACAGAAGACCTTCAATGAGAGGGACGGACACAGTGGCTGCTACAATGGGCTCCAACAGAACAACAATGTGAGGAGGGCACAGGACTGGGGAAGCGCCAACAGTTTCAGTCTGTTGTGTAAAGGATCACTATGAATCAAAATCAACTTGATGGTACCTAACAATAAAGACAACAGTGTCAGGTAGAGGCTCCATCAAAAACTGGAACGCAAGTAAGTGATAAACACTAGACACTATTTAAAAACTGGTATAATTTCATTTCGCCACAGAGATGTTTAGCTGTTCCACAAACCAGTTTTTACAATCTCTCTCCTTCATAAACATATTACTGATGCCGATTCAAGCACTCTGGCTTTCTAACTAAAAGATCTATATCCCATGGCAGGAAAATCTAGGAAATTTACTGGGATGGCAAGACTGACTCTATATCCTTCACTTTCCTCCATCTTAACCTCAATTCAAGCAGGGAATGACAGAGAAACTGAACTGGTCTCGACTCCCTCCTGGGAATATTTCTAAAAGTAATGGTCATCAACTTCTTCCCCTACTAAACATCAGAGAACACCACAGAGCCCAGAGCTACTTCCTGAAAACATGAGGTTAATGTGCCTGAATGTAGGAGGATGTACCAGTCTGCTTCTATAAAGATTTACAGCCTTGAACTATAGTCTCAGGAGACATTAAGGTCATTTGGCATAACAGAATCACGAAGACAATGTTCTACATCCTACTTTGATGAGGACCGACTGGCTCCATGGAAGCAGTTGTGTAAGATACAATTAAGTCTCTTCCCACCTAGAACAGAGAAGAGTAATAAAAATCAAAGATTCCAGGGAATAATTAGTCCAAAGGAAGCTCAGCCTGCACTAACCTGAAACCAGAAGAACTAGATGGTACCCAGCTACCACTCACTACTCACTGTGACTGGGATCAAAGCAGAAGGCCTTGGACAGATTGGGTGAAAAACGTAGAAAACAACTTAAAATCATAAAGATGACCAGGCTTACTAGTCGGACAGACTGGTGAAACCCCTGAGTGTGTGGCCCATAAACACCTTTTAAACCTGGAACTAAACGCCCCCCGAAAGGAGCAACTTTCAGTCAAGCAATGTTGTTATTGTTAAGTGCCGTCAAGTTGGTTCCGACCCTTATCGATCCTGAGAAAGGTTTCCAAGGGGCAACTGGTGGGTTTGAACCACCAACCTTGGGGTTAGCAGACCAGTGCTTATCCTACAGCACCACACCAAGACTCAGTCAAGCAACAGACAGGCCTATAAAGTGAATGTAACACCCTGGAGGAATGTTCTCGTCACAACTATCAATCACAGACCAAAAGAGCAGCATCTGCCTCAAAGCAAAGCACAGCAAGCAGGATGGGGGAGGAAAGAAGGACAAATGGAAATGAGGAACCCATGGAGAAAAAGAAAAGAGTGTGCTTACACTAAGGGGGCTTCACCTAGTGTCATGAAACAAAACACTTATAAATTGTTGGGCAGAAAATTAATTTGCTCTATAAACTTTCACCCAAACCACAAGAACATAAACTAATTTATTAAAAAAACATAGACAGATGAAACACACACACACAATATTGACAGCTTTGGAAGCCCTATTGGACAGTTCTATTCTGTACTATAGGGTGGGTCACTATTAAGTTGAAATTGACTTCATGGCAGTGGGATTTTTTGGTTTCGGTAGATAAAATGAGAACCAGTAGCTTTTTTTTTTTTTTTTTTTTTTAAAAACAACAACACTGTGGCAATTATTTGACCTGTTTCTTTCCTTTCTAACTTATGAGATGTATCAGCTTCTATCCACATTTGATCAACCAGCTCTCTATGAGCTTGCCAGGTTACAGTTTCATCATCACATTTTTAACTGATGTTTCTAAGAGCCTTTTAGGGCACCCAAATCCTGAGGGGATGGTAAAAACAAAAGATTAAATTATATTCACTATCATTTTACTATAGATATTCAGTGGTTCTTTGGTCCTGGGAAGATTGGTAACCCAAGTTTGGTATGTCTGACAATTCCACTAGCACAAATATCTCAAATAGAGACTAGGGCTGAATATGTTGGAAACACTTTTCACCAATCACCATTAGAAGACAATGGGAGACTTCTGGCACTCCACCAGCTGACAGCAGCTGTGCTGCAAAGCCTTTATGGGTCTGGGTTTGGGAAAATGAAGTACCGGTAAGACGGGAGAGGAAGAAAAAGAAACGAGCACCCTCCTTTATAAATTTATTATTATAAACCTGAAACTTAGACTATTGCAATGTAGTACGGGTTTAAATGTTAGCCTTTCAAGATCTGGATTTATTATATTAGGTTCATTTTTTTAATTTACTAGCATATTTCCAGAGCTATAAAACAAAATGCTTTGAGTAGTATAAAATTATGATACTCTTGATTCATCTGCTTTTTAAGATAGTGAAATATGAAGTATCAGTACTACCAGGTTCAGAGACAGGAACTTTTAAAGCTATTATTATTATACTAAGTCGGACATGCTAGATGCAAACTACTTGCCTGTTTGATTTCACAAAGTTTCAGTAAATAAGACTTTTGTAAATCTTGTTCCTTTAGTTTTCATGCTTGCCATATCCATCCTCCTAAGCTCAAACAACGTCCTAATTGACGAGACCTTCACTCAATACTGAAGCTTCATATTAAAGTTTCAACATTTTGTGCTTTGGAAACAGAAATGTACATTTTGTTTTTAAAAAATATAGCTCAGTAAATAGTGTGTACTGAAAATGAGAAGCTTGACATTCCTCCCATCTCGATTTCTTTTGACTCAAAACTGAACTCATCTCTAGCAATAGAAATATCACCAAATATACATTGATCCACAGAATTTATTTATTGTGCACAATACAGGGCTTTCTTTTCTGAACTGAAAAGTTACTTTTTGTGCAGGATGAACAGGAAAGATACAGATATATAGATATATTTTTTAAATGACATCTTTCCATCCCTCTTTCTTACTGCACTTTGGAATAAATAATAAATTGTATGACTTAGTAAAAATGCCCATAGGAAAATTAGTTCCAAAGTAATACTGGCATTTTGGCCAAGTTTTTCAGTGCAGTTGCTAAAACAAAAAAGAAACCTATCCTCTAACTTATGTCTCCAAATGAGAATCCTGTGTGTTCTCTTCCCATTGGAAGACAAAGTACTACAGAAAGTAGGAAGCAGAACATTCACATTGGAACAGACTATGGAACTTGGGAAATAGAGGTGGGAAAGTAGAACCCCTTAAGAATCCCTTCATTCTTCTTTCATTTCCTATGGAAATGAACATTTTGGTCTCTATTCTACAGAGGCTATAAATTAGTTTCCATCCCAGATAGAAATTGTGATGCCACATGACCGCAACTGGGGGGTTAGGAGAGATACCGACTTTTGGAAGTCAGCTAAAGGCTAACTTTGTGATTACCCAATATAACCAGAGAACAAGATTTACTCTGTACACGTCTCTGAAAAAAACCAAGTCTGACAGCAGGAGCTGAATCTCTTCTAGAAGACAATCTAACTCAATTTGAAATTAGAGCTGAACAATGTGCCATGTATGCATACACAAATGACAGGAACTTGGGTGATTCTGAATCGACTTGGTATTTTACACTGATAATAACTGTCAATTAAAGAATTCCAAAAAAAAGTCTACACTAACTTAAAAAAAAAAAATTAAATACAATTCTTCCAAATTCCAAGGCCACATACTTTTGTAATCTCCTTTTTTTTGGGGGTGGGGGGGAGTTTAGTCACAAAGCAACCTAGTGTCAAAGCAGCATCCAAACATTTAATGATTTGTTTTTTTAAATTATTGGTTGAAACTCGCTTTTCCTTAGCTTAAGTTTATCTTCTTTCCACAATTAGAGAAGAACAGATGCAGCTGATTATTAAACCTATGCATGATTCTCAATATACCAAATAATTCCATTGTCTTTTAATTCATTTGTCCACAGATTTTTGCAAGCGCCCTTGTATGTATCTTAAAACAACAACAACAATCAGCAGAGGATTTTTGTGTTTTAATGTTTCAGACAACCTAAATACTTTGATTCCAGCAATCTATAACCCTGACAGAATTTCCCCTAGTCTGGTGGGGGTGGGTGAGGGCAGGTTAAGCAAAAGTTACAAAACAAGAGTGGCAAATGTGTAAACTATAAAGCACACGGGGGAAGGTAGAAGTGATCATTTGACTTACAGCAGCTGCTTCCAGAAGGAGCCCATTTAAGCACAGACTCGGGGAGCTCATCCAGCAGACTAGAACAAAATACACAGCGTTAACACACAACGAATTTGTTTTGAATCCAGGGACTCACTGCTTTGATTAGAAAACAAAATTCTACTTCTAGACTGTGGGTCACCAGAATTGTGGCTTTCAAAGACTTGTCTCATCCACCTGTAAGGGGTGACAAGGTAAGTAGAGATAAAGAAAAGAACCCCAATACCTATGGACCAATTTTACATCAATCAGCTAGAAGCTACACAACGTAGGATTATGGTATAAAACCAATGTCAAGCATTCAAATGCACTATTACTGAGTGGATTCGGACTTACAGTGACCCTTAAGGACAGAGTAGAACTGCCCCAGAGGGTATCCGAAGCTATAAATCTTTAGTGCAGCAGACTCTACATCTTCCTCCACAGAGTAGTTGGTAGGTTCAAGCTGCAAACCTCTTTGGTTAGCAGCTGAGCTCCAAGTTTGTGCATGCAGACATGCAGAAATAGGGACGTTTGTCTTGATCCTTTCCTTAAAAACAATGAAAATGTATCAGAGAAACATGTTATCTGGATTTTCAGGATATTTTTCCTCTGGTACTACCAATGAAGAGGGGCATTAGTATTTAATTATTTCTGTATGCTGCTCTTCATTGAGCAGTGTTTATGCTACCCAATAATTAAGGAGGTTAATAAGAAATATTCAAAGAAACAAAAACAAAGAACAAACAAACTCCAATTTTCTCATATTTTCCAGTGCTTTAGACTGAACAGGTACAACTGCCTTAGTTGTTTCAGCCACAAAAATATGAAATTCTAACTAAAACAGTGGATTCACAAACTCTGGCAGAATTGCAACAGTAAATGTATCAATCTAACACCATCCTATATTAGGGAAACCAAGGGCAAAAGGGAGATACAGTGTTTAGGCTGAATATATAAACATGACTTTATGAAAACATTCAATGTTATGCTTTCTATAGCAAGTTGAATGACTTATGATTATAGATTGCATACTATACACCCTCATTTGGTGCTTTCAGATAATCACTGAAGTGGTAACCACAAAGTAGGGGGTTCAAACCCACCAGTTTGCTCCTCAGATACCCTATACAGGGTCGCTATGAATAGAAACTGACTCAGTATGACTAACAACAACTTAGCAGTAACAGAAGAACTTTAAAAAGGTATATATGATTTATCTGAATTATAAACTTCACAACTGATATTAGGTTTACTAGTTTATAAGTTTATATTATTAATCAAGTAAAAATAAATATTAACATATATTGTTGTTGTTGTTATGTGCTGTGGAGTCGGTTCTGACTCATAGCAACCCTGTATAGGATTTCCGAGGCTGTAAATCTTTACAGGAGCAGAAAGCCTCATCTTTCTCCAGCGGAGCAGCTGGTAGTTTCCAACTGCTGACCTTGAGGTTCGCAGCCCGATTCATAACTAGTATGCTACCAGAGCTCCTTTTAACATATATTGAGTCCTCAAATATAAACGGAGGTTGTTAGGATCATATTTTATTATTTTACATGATACCCTATTATTCTGCATGAATAATATATAAGTAGATACATTCATTGTAGCTACTTACATTGAATGCATTCTCTACAGATGATAGGAAGGCATATAGATTGACAGGTAGAAGACTAAAACCAATCATATTTGTAAAGCTTATTATAAGAAAAACACATAGAACTAGTAAAATTAAAATGTTAGTTTTTAAAATGAAGTGTACAGCATTAAAATTAGGTAAACTGAGTTGGAAAACTAGATACCAAGAATGTCTAGCTATGTCATTACTGTACACTGACTGAAAGACGTCAGTTACGTGAAGGATAAAACGGGCATATCAGTCACTGCAATAAAAAACTGATTTGTTGTTGTTCAGCGCCATCAAGTTGGTTCCAACTCATAGCAACCCCGTAAAGTGTATCCGAGAAGTTGGTGGGTTTGAACTGCTGATCGTGTGGTTCGCAGTCCAGTGCTGATCTACAGCGTCACACCAGTAGTAAAACACAACGGATTATATAGTTCTAATATTGACTTACATAAATTTGTCAGTTTTTGACAAGGGACTAGAATGATCTAGATTCTGAGAGGAGAAATATTACATATATGTCAGGATTCACAAACATAATCTGTATTATTCTGAGCCGAAGGTTAACCTTTCTATTGAGGAGATGCCACACTGAATTTGAAGTCTGATTTCTATGGGTAAGATAACTACTTTATACACTTCTGTTGTGACCTGCCCTACTAAAGCTTAGCTGCCTTTTCCAATTGTTATATTTTATCTGTAGATAAGTACTGTTAAACAGATCTTGGTGCCTAATTTATGCTACAGGCAACTGAGTTTTTTCTCAGGTCTGATCAGGGAGAGAAAAGTAAAAATAGTGAAACACTCTGTTTTTAGTCTGACCTAATTTTCATGCTAACAGATTCTAGGTGATAAAAATGGAATATGGAATATTAAAAATGTTTATGTGGCTCTAAGACTATCTCTTATGTAAATATCCCATATATGAGCAGGCATCAAAAAGTTGTAGAAAAACTCCATTATTTTTAAATTCCATTTTACCAAATTTTTGAAGTCCCCTTGTAAAAGTTTTGTTTGTTTCTTCCTCAAGAAACAAAACATACTCCCTCCAGGACCCGGGATTAAGAAAGAGTTCTGCTGCTCTTATTTGAAAAATACACGCCTTTGAAAAAATATTTGCCCCATTTTACATTGTTGCTTTGTACAGCTGATATCAACCACATGCTCAGACTGCCTCTATATACTTATACAATGCTACTTTGAATATCCTATTCCTTGAAAATACGACCACCTAGAATCTAAGTTTTGGAAAACACCACGTAAAGGAATGTATATTTCATCTAACAGTTTGCACTGCAACTCATGTACATGTGGCTTTGTAGGTGCTATTTGAATGGATTTTATGTCTGTTAGCTGTTTGGGGTTTTTGGACAATGTTTTTTAAATTAAAGAAATTTGCTCCGGCTTTCATGTTGGATGAATGGCAGTCTTCTCTGGGATGTGAGCTCCCTGAGACCTGTTTCGGTAAATGATGAAGTACTTGCAAGTTTGTACTTTGTTTTAGCAGTCTGGACAGCCACAGGGTCCTTCAGGTCCCGTTCCCAGGGCAGTTTCCCACATAACCACCGTAGCATGCAGTAGCCGAGGATTTCAAGGTCACTTCGTCTGGACAGGGCTGCGGGAGTAAGCATTAAGAGTCAAAGATGAGGGATAGGGAAGTTCTTAAGAAATAGGGAAATCTTTGAGTGAACTACTGTTGATAAAACACGAAAAAGCCAAATGGGCAAAGGACTTTGTTTGTTCAGCTGGAGTAAAACTTAAACACCCAAGCTTTTGGCCCCAGTCCACAGACAGGCAGTGACTTGTTGCTGTTGAAAGTAAGGGTCAGTTTCCTCACCTCCTCCAACTTCATCCTTCCTTAGTCTGGTCTGTCACATGAACTTGATCCCCATGGCCTCTGACATGATCCAGACAACCCATAACCCGGCACCAACACTTTCTCAAAGAGCTAAGCAGTAAAATAAAGAAATAAATGTCTGCAGCTAAATTGCTAACATATGTTCCAGGAAGTCCACGGGGTCCGTGTTGGTCATGCAGAGCCCCTCTGAGTGCAGACTAAACATGGATGGCCTTTCCTGTTCCACTCACACTAGCAGCATTTGAAGTCTGAAGAATATGACAAAACTGCCATCTAGTGTGCAGTATTAAAAACCAGGTCTGTCTTAAGATTCTCCAGTTACATGGAAGGACAGAATCAAATATGCCTGCTGTTTGGGGTACACAGTTCTAAATTTTTACAAGTCTGAATTTCAGATAGAAGCAGCACCAAGCTAAAATTTGTGTCTTTATATCTTGAACAGAAAATATAAAGATGAGAAAAGGGTGCTGGTGGGAGGCGACAGTGGGGACAGGAGTAGATTTTGAAGTCAGTCAAATAGAGGCTTTAGGGATTTGATATAAAACAGGTATGCAGTAAAAAAAAATAATAATAGTAAAAGAAAAACATTTTCAGGTCACTGTAAATACCATTTATATCAAATTATTATATGCCATTAGATTAATTTCATCTTATTTTTAAAATGTATTTCACAGTGACTTGTTCCAAAAGATGGACTAAGACCAAAAAATACACCAAACATTATTGATATTTATTAAGAAATCAATGACATAATGATTAAAACACTATCAAATACCCACAAAATATACTCACTATTTTTATTAGCATTCTAAATCATTATAAAACAATGGACTGACATTCACATTCATACCATGACTTCAATATTCATCTGTGTAAGATATATAATCTCTTAAGGACATGATGGCTGTTAAACCTGCTGTAAATAGGAATTCTATTCATTATCATTCTTAAATACACTCTGAAAAATCACTCCATAAAATTAGTTTTTAATTTAAAAAGTCATCTATTAAGAGCACTGCTGCCAACACATCAGAACTACTTTTGGTTACTACACATAAGTTATTATAAAAGCAGAAGACAAGATTAGCTCTTACACATACTCTATCTTAACTGCTATTAGAGTATTAGATTATTAAAGGCCCTTCAATCTAGCAGAATGCTAACGTCCCAAGGGTGCCATTTACTTTCTGCACAAGCTTCAACAATGTCCTAATGCAAGACTTGGCTCTCGTATTAAAATAAAAACACAATCTCTGCCATGCTGTTCTGTAGCGTTTTCTTCGGTAATAAATCTCCCATTAATAATGGAATGGTTCCATTTGTACAAATGTGTTCACACAAGTGTGTTTCCATTATGGCAGTTCCCAACCATCACCACTTAAAAAAAAAAAAAAAGAATCACATTCTCTAAGTTTCAAAACTGATACTCTGACACCTGATTGGATGACATAGGCTACACAGAGGCCCTCTGAGGAAAACTATCAGAATGAAAATGAATGAACCTTTCCAGCCACTTCCTCTCCACACCCCAACTGAGGGATTAATTGATATGAGGCTGTAAGTAAGGATAAGTCATTTAAATTTCTAAAGTCAGTCTTCCATAAACCGGTCTTCATTTGAAATAGCCCTTTGAGAATTTACTTTACTATAATAATTTGGTCTTACCTAATTAAAACATATTATCAAATTTAAATTTTTTTACTTATATTCCTTTATTGCATATATATGCTAATAACTGTTGTTGTTAATTGTTATCTATTTGGTTCCAACTCACAGTAACCCTGTATAGGGTTTCTTAGGAGTGGCTGGTGGGTTTAAACTGACAACCAAGTGGTAAGCAGTCCAATGCTTACCTTATAGCACCACACAAGGTACATAAACATTTTATTTATTTTTGCACTAAGTTCTACACAAGTGACAGTAATTTTAAAAAGAACACCCGAAAGTTACCCTTTCTCATCATTAAAGAGTGAGACAATATTATTAATTTTCTAAGTGTATCCATCTCAAATTTCCTCTCAGAAAAACAAATTAGAAAGTTTGATTTGTTTTATTGAAGTTAAAATCTCAGACTATACCAGTAATGTCTTCTTTTCAACCTAATAAACACAGAAGAATCATTTAAAAACCTTCCATATCTATATAATTAACACAATTGATCATAGTTGAAAAAGTCTATTAATATCTAACTATTAAAAACATATATTTTTTTAAACATTTGAATGTTGATTTGATTGCACAGTCTTGAAATTCATTTAAACACATGCTAAATGAATCATTAAACAGATAGAGCCCTGGGTTAAGAATCCTAAAGATTAAAGACAGCTCTGCCACTAACCTTTTTGTTTCTAGCTTTAAGTTCGACAATGATGGGCAATATATTCCTTGTTGATACACTGTCATTCATTTGGGTAGAAAACACATTGTGATATATAATTTAATTTATAATTAAATGTAAAATATTTTGCTCGAAGAGAAAATTAAACACATAAATAAATACATAAAATTAAATACATAAGGTCTTCAGTTGTATTAGGCAATTAATAAAATTGTTAAAAGTGAGTTTTCATATAGTTCTAAAAAAATCAAACTTTATTCCAGGTGTTATTGCTTAGAAATGTGACAAGATCTAGTAATTACCAAGATTTTTCTTTTATACTTGTTCAAATTAGTATCTAATTTTTATCTAGCTTACAAATGTGTAGCAAAGTAAATGTGTCTTTTTATTGAAAGTCTGTGGTGCTCTCACGTATTCAACACTCCAGAATGTATAAAATACTGCTACCAGTAACACTGGAATCCTGGCGTGGCACTATAGGATGAGCACTGGACTGCAAGGTCAGTTTGAACTGCAAGGTCAATGGTTCAAATCTACTAATCAGCCCTTGGAAACCCTATAAAAGGTTGCTATGACTCCAAATCAACGCGATGGCACTTAACAACAACAACCAGCAACACTTAAAAAAAAAAAAGGCTTGGGTAGGGGATTTAAATTCTATTTCATTAGAAGGCAGAGTCCAGGAACAGCTGACATTTGAATGCATATATAAAATAAAAAATAATTGATGTGATTTATGGAGCTGCTACTACAGTTTCTTATTATCTCATTTAAGCATCCCCAAACCATATAAGGCATTATTATACCTATTCTCAAATAAGAAAACAGAGGCTCAGAGAGGATGAATAACTTGTTCAACATCATAGAGCAAACACTGATAGGGCTCAGCATTGAAACCAAACTCGGACACAATCCAAAGGATTCACACAATCTAATAACTGCTTTGCCTTTAGAATTATTTTAACAACATTCCATACATTACTTCAATAGGTAGGTTGGTCTTTAAAGTAGCTATATCAGCTTAAAACACACAGACATACTGACAGAAAGACGGTTGCTTTGAGATGGTATAAGCAAGCAGCAGATCTTGAGGTCCAAGCAGCATGACTCAAACATTTTCAAGCAATTATTCTTTCATGTAACGATTTTTTTTCAAACTACTTCATACTGATGAAGAAGGCTCTCCAGCTGAAACAGTTAGTTACAAAAAACTGTTACATGGTCTTTCCAAGCTGGTAGGAGAACAACAGAAAAGAGACTCTGGAGGGCTGATCCTTATTATAAAGATAAATAAAAAACAGAATTGTTGTTGTTGTTGTTGCTATGTGCCGTGGAGTCGGTTCCGACTCATAGCGACCCTGTACAGGGTTTCCGAGGCTGTAAATCTTTACGGGAGCAGAAAGTCTCATCTTTCTCCCGCAGAGCAGCTGGTAGTTTCTAAATGCTGACCCTGAGGATAACAGACCGATTCGTTACCACTACGCTATCAGAGCTCTTAAAAACAGAATTATTGCTGTCCAATTCAGCAAATAGAATGAAAGGGGAATTGGAAGAAAAGAGAAGGGTAAATGTTAATCCCAAAGTGGGGCTGAATATTTACATAAAGTGTTTTTTGTTTTATTTCTTATATTGAGCAAAATTATGGACTACACACCACACTATGAAGGGTTTGGCAGTTAATAACATAGTGAAATGGAAAATGTTTGCCTCAGGCAGAGTTTGAATGTCCAAAATACTAGTTTATATGCTCAGAAAAGACAACAAGAAAGTAGAACACACCTAAATAAGATGCTCACGTGAAGAAGTGGCGGGTGAGCAACTGCAGAACAAATTTGAAGTTTATTCCTATTTTTGCCCAACTAGTAACGTGTTTAATTCAGTGTTTTGTCAAACTGGATGTGGAAAGAGCTGGAAATTTTTATGGTAGTCACTAGTGCAATGCAATGAGTGTCACTTTTAAAATAAAATGTTCAATCCAGGTCCCTCCTATTTTTTCAGTACCTTGTAAATTCTAAACACTAGTTTTCAGTGTGAAACACTATGTGAGACTTAGAAAAAGTTATCAAACAGAATAAATGTATCTTAAATTTGGGCTGTTATGTCTCCATAGAAATTAAAAAGTCAACATATTCAAAACTTTATAAGTCATGACCAAATGTAAAAATTAGGTATATGTCATAAAGAAAGAATAATGCCTTTATTATTACTTATCTCAATATTAAGTGTGGTGCTGTAGGATTAGCACTGGACTGCTAACCTCAAGGCTGGTGGTTCAAACCCAACAACTGTTTCTTGGAAACGCTTTACAGGGTTCACTCGGAATCACAACTGACTTGACTGTACTTAACAACAAGAAGAAGCACCGCAAGATCAGTGGTTCAAACCTACCATCCACACCTCAGAAATCCTATACAGGATCATTATGAGTAGGAAATGACTCACTGGCATTTAAAAGAAGCCTGGTGGCACTGTAGGATAGGTACTGGACTGCTCACAAAGCTAATCAAACCAAAGTTAGCTGTTCAAAGCAGCTGTTTCTTGGAGAAAGATGAGGCTCTCTGCTCCTGTAAGATTTGTTGTTGTTAAGCGCTGCTGAGTCCGTTCCAATTCATAACAGCCCTGTACAGGGTTTCAGAGAGGCAGCTGGTGGGTTTGAATCTCTGACCTTGTGGTAAACAGTCCTATGCTTCTTCTACAATGCCACAGCAGGACCCCTGTTTATATTTACAACCTTGGAAACTCTACTAAGGGTCACTATGAGTCAGAACTGACTAGTCTTGTAATGATTTTTAGCAAATTTATCTAAAAGAAATGAGCAGTATGTTTGACTACCAAAGAGTACATCATTCAGTTTTTCATTTAACTTAGTATCTTAGCAAAATTGTAAAATGGGTTTCCATTTTTCATTACTGCTTAAGAAGATAAATGCTGTCATTTTCTAAAGTTTGGTGATGTTAAAATACATTCTCAGCTTATTTCACATATATGAAGGAGCATCAAAATGTTCTTATGAAAACGGACTTAAAAGGTAAAGGAATTTTTCCACAAACATGTTGAAGTCCCTTTGTATTTTTATTTTATTTCACATACAAATTGGAATGCTTGATTAGAGTGAAATGAAGACATGCAAGAAATACAGAAGACTGGATTTAATATACCACAGCAACTGGCAAAATTTTAAAAGTAGGTAATACCATTTCTTTCCTTAATACTGAATATATTACATAAACAAATGGATGTTTAAAATGCAATTTAGATATCATATTTTATGGTCATCAACGATGTCAAATTAAAACAGGTATTATAACACTCGATGCACAGGTCTCAAGTATTTAAAAAAGCTTCACTATGTTAAATGCAGTATATCTCTAGAGAAATTAGGTATTGACTGCATGCCTCAGTGAGTAGAAAAATCTACAAAAATCCATACCACACATTGATCCAAATATTGCTTTTTAACATGACTAAGAATGTAACAAATTTTAAAATAGTATATTTGACACAGATATAATTCCCTTTAATTATCAGGCTATAGTCCAAAATGTGTCAATGTTTATATGTTAGTTTTTATGATGAATATAAAATTAATAACTGAATAAATAAGCCTAACACATATTACTCTAATTTCACACTAAATGAAGCACTTCAGTCACTTAGAAAATACCTTTAGGTCACACAAGAGAATTGAGTTTGGAAGATTACCTGCAATTTTTATTAAAAAGCATACAGATGTAGATGCATGATAGTTCTAGTAAAAATGATCTATTCATCTACCCACCCCTCTATCTATATTTCTATGTGCATATTCTTTGGTTTGTAATAATGCCAGTATATAGTTTTGACTTGTGATAGAACACAAGCTAATAAAACAAAATAAACATTTTTCTCTTCCCCTTTTAACACCCCTCGCTTTTACATAATGATGAACTAAGAGATGCTTAGGTGAAAAGAGTGAGTGGTACCTTAACGTAGGCTCAGTCATTATAAAATTACAATTAATCCAGAGAAAAGAGAGATTTAGCATCCGGTCCTGAAAAGCTACAACATACAATAGAAACCAGGTAGTGAACAGATTAGCAGTCTCTGCAGAGTGATTTACCCCTAAGTCAGTTTTACATGGAAGTTGGAATACTTCCTTTGGCCCGACCAAATGAAAATGCACCTGACACACAGCAAATACTTCGACAACTAGAGGCTGCATTGCCTACTGAGAACTTTTTTTGCTCTGTATGCTTTCTGTTGCATTATCTTTCTCAGTATTTATTTGAGCTCCTACCTGGACTGGTACAGAGAAGATTTTTCTGAGATTAAACTACACAGTGACTGTACTGAAAGTAAACACATGAATATTTATGAATCTGACCTTCTACATTTATCTACAGGATTTATTGCCCTGTTTATTTTGGTTTCTAGATATGGTTAAATTATTATTTCATTTCTAATAAAATCCTAACCTGAAATGTTTTGTTTTGGAAAATTACATGCAAAATACTAGCAATGAACAGTAGTCAACATTTGAGGACATTTTACACATCAGACTAAAATTGCTGATTAAATTTTCAGCATATTTGTACGTGAGGGTGAGTCCAAAAGTATTGCTACAACCTCATCAAAACCTGTATTTAAGAAAAATATTAAAATGTGCGGCTACTGTTTCTTGATATCTCCACAATCTAGGTCTATACCCTTCTGAAGACAGTGTCACTCACTACAAGCTGGAACTGACTCAGAGGCACTTAACAACAACAATGGTTTTAACCAACTCTCGTCTGTCAGTTTGTCGTACTGTGACAACTTGCGTGTTGCTGTGATTCTGGAAGCTAAGCCACCAAAATTTTAAATATCAGCAGGGTCACCCACACTGGACTGAACGAGCTTCAAATAGAAAAAAACATTATCAATGAGCATTTAAGTGTCTCAGTCTTAGTTCAAGTAAAGCAATATCCCATTTATATCTTTAAATGCTCATTATATAATTTATTAGTGATGTAAATGGTGAAAAAACTATACAATATTACCAAATTTTCAAGTGACCTATTCTTTTCCTAACTCTATTTGAGAAAAAACATAGTAGTTCCTTTCACGCTAATCAAGAAAAGCTAAGTACCACTTCAGAAAGCTTAAGCTGTAATTCTTCCTAAAAGGAAGAAGGTATACAACTGACAGACTTGTTTCACTTTTTCACTGGCCTGTCTTAAACTAACCAAATCTCAAATAAACCCATTGCCTTTGAGTTAATTGTTTCCAAGGCTGTCAATCTTTAGGAAAGCAGACTGCCACATCGTTCTCCCACAGAGCAGCTGGTAGGTTTGAACTGCCTATCTTTCAGGTTAACAGACAACTTTAATCTATACCATCAGGGCTCCACCTTAAACGAGGGTAGGTTTTAATTGCTCTAGAAAACGATCAAGACCCTCTGCATTACATGGTCAATGGTCCTTTTAATAGTAAAGGCAATAATATAAAGTTGTTTGCGCCAACTAAAACTCGTTAGAAAGTATCAGTTTAGGGTAACAGTTCAACAGCCATTAACAAGTGCAAATGTCTAATTGCCTTTTAGTGAAAGTGTAGTTTTTTTTCAAAGTGGCTTAAAAATTCTTTGTTTGGTGTAGCATAGTGAAAACAGTTTTATAAACAAAGTTTACAAAGACTATAATTATGAAAGCCAAAGTTTTTCAATAATCACCATTTTTTCACTAGCATAACATTAGAATTGACTTTTTGTCTTGCTGACAGAGCAACTAAGAAAGTACAGTTGCATTGACCATATTGATTGTGAGCAAAGCAACCATCAGTGGGACTCGGCACCATATATTTTCAATATTGACCTCCTACTTCCTTTTCCATGGCTTTCTGGGTCGGCTATTGGATTTGGACTGCAGTGTAATAAACAGCTAAGGTTTAATTAATGGTAAATGAATACAAGACATAGGTTATGACTTTAACTAATTAGGGAATTGTTGAATTAAGTCTGCCTTGGAATGCAAGGCAGTACAATCAATATCCAATAAAAGGACTATGTATGTAATTTACCTGCAAATGTGTTTCCAATACCATCAAAGTGAGTTTAAATAAGTAAGATATATGAAAGGCGACTAAGAGAGATTTCCACAAGTTAACACTTTATAGTTTCAGAAGACATTTCCTTGTGGTTGAGAGATGACAGCTTCCCATGCTCTGATAAGGACACAATGAAAAACAGGAATAATCCTTCACATGTGCACTTTGCCAAATGTGGGATTACACTATATCATAAAAATTCAAAGTTGCTGACCTGCAAGGTCACCTTACAAGCTATCAGTTACCTGGCCAAAATAAACATCAGGCTTTGTTTACATCACACCATTTTCTCCCTTCTCACTTATCACAGTCTACATCTCCTTCCAATGTTGGAAGAAATGGCCTAACAGGAATTCAAGACTTTTGATCAAAATGTCACCAACACTTTCATCAAACAGACTATGCAAAGGCCATTTCATGCAGTTTTATTCTTCTTCTTTAATCATTCAGCCGAAATAAAAACAAGGCAAAAGAAACACACCTACTCCCTTGTGGGCATCCAAGCTGGTAAACTCCATTGTCCCATTATGGCTTTTTCTAGGATTTTCCTGATACTGTTTGTGGTTCCCATTGGGACAATATCTGTAGGAAAGTCCATAGTCTGCAAGATAAACCTGGAAGACATGAACAGACAAATGAATAATGCTTTGTCCTCTGAAAAGAAAACCTTTATAATTAAGTCTTAATAAATTGGTAAATGAAGAACAGCCTGTAGTCTACATTTTATTAAACCAACTGGTGTCTCAGGATAAAACATATGCAACTGAGGGTCATAACAACTAATTCTTACTTCATCATACGGGTATCTTATTTCTGAGGTGACTTAGATTTTTAGCCTTTTTGTGTTGTTCCTAAGTTCCCTTCCCTCCTAGTGGGCACTGAGACAACCATAAACCACATGATGTCTTTTGACTTATACTCATATAGCTTATTTCCTTACAACTCCTCCCTGTAACATAAAACTATTTCAAGCAGGGAGGAGAGATGAGGGCAAACATTCTAAAAACATAAACCTAATGGTACAGTGCTTTCCATTAACAGGAAATATATAAATAGTGAAGAAACTGTAAAGGCATAGACTTAAAAAAAAAAAAAGAAAGAAAAAAAGCCACCACAATGCTGTCTGTATTTAAGAATGGAACATCAATAATGCAGGACTTTTGGCCTTTCAGCCCGATCCATATCATCACTGTTATCTTTGTAAATCACTCAGAATTGCAAGCAGGGTCTCCAAACAGAATATAGATTGTTAAAAGTCAGAAAGCAATTCAAGTGAATTTTTCTCAGATTACTTTTGGAGGGAGAATGAGGGGAGGAGTAGTTTTACAGATACGGCATACATTGAATGGAAAACTGTTTTGACGAGACATTTACTCCGTCATGTAGTCAGAAAACAGTAGTTCCCAACTGTATATCACCATGCTTCCCCAAAAGAGAAAATGGCTGCGGCTGCCATGAAGTATTGCTTCACATATATGTCTGTAAATTGGGGGATTTTTGCAGCATTTCATGATACAGATACAAAACAACATGTATAGTGATATGACATGCATCTTTAAAATTTAGTATCTGTTCAAAGAAAACCTAGCATTTGAATTTTAGTTTCCTTAAGTTTTTGGTTTCAGGAAAGTGTAAGTAGGAGGTATTCTGAACTTGAGCAGACAGTTGTTTTCATTTGGATAGCATAACTTACTGCTGTTGTTAAGTGTCATCGAGTCAGGTCTGACTCATAGAGTTTCTGAGGAGTAGCTGGTGAATTTAAACCGCCGACCTTTCAGTTCAAAATGACCTTGAGGCTGAGTGTTTATCCTATAGTGTCATACCAGGACTCCATGTAGCTACCAATGTTTGTAAACATGGCATTTCTGTTTGCTCTCTTTCCCACAGATGGTATTTCTCAGCTCTAAGTAACTTTAGAATCACAGGGAGGACTGGCCACTTTCTTTCACTGTTTCTGATGCATTTTTGCCTTTGGTCATTTTAAGTACTAAACAGATGGCCTTCACTTTGTAAAAGAGATATCAGGACAGAACATATTAATAATAATTCAGCAAATAGAATCACACACTGGAGCAGTTTGCTATTTTACCAAAGAGTGATTAAGAAGTTTTTCATGTAGTCCGTAGCCAAAGAAGATCTAAAATTGATGGACTGTCTGCTCTGCACCAGGTAGTAAGTAAGCTTAGTACTACACATTCATTGTCCCCTGTCATCCTTACAGAAGTCCTAGGACGTAGGTACCATTACTTCTATTTCACTCATAAGGAAACTGAAGCTTAGTTATGTTGAGCAACTTGTGTAATAAAATGAAACCAAGATTCCATTGCATTTCTGACTCCAGAGCCTTTATTCTCTCAATCTCTAGGCAGCAGGCCAAGTGTTCTGCTGGGCGCTCAAACTTTGAAGGACGCTGCAGGATTTGTGTTCAATATAAAGAAAAAAGCTAACAATACAGTTAGGAAAACATACCTTAACCACTTGCTGACTCTTAAAGTCAATGGATAGTTCAGATTTAAAAGTAAGTAAAACGTGCAGGGATTCAAGTACTACAAGAAAAAATTATCACCTCTCAAGCAACAATAGTATGTATTAGCTAAGCAATCAAAATGTTCTTGGTGGTCCTAATGGAGAGTTCTGGGCAGGATTCAAATAGTCATGAAAGGCCAGTTAACAAAATAGGAAAATTTAGCTTCCTTGAATAAAATTAACAATTATCCATCAGATCCTTAAAAATACCTGTTTTGTTTTTTTTTAGAAAAAGGTTGTTGTTAAATGCCTCCAAGTAGGTTCCGACTCATAGCGACCCTGTATAGTGTTTCCCATGAGTGGTAGGTGAGAGTGAACCGCCGGCCCTGTAGTTCAAACCAACTAGCAGTCTAGTGATTACCCTATAGTGCCACACCAAGACTCCAAAAAAAAAAAAAAAAAAAAAAAAAAAAAATATATATATATATATATATATGTTATTATTATTGTTATTATTTTCCTTCGCAGGAAAAAGATGAGGCTTTCTGCTCCCACAAAGATTTACAACCTTGGACAACCTATACAGGATCATTATTAGTCAGTACAAACTCAACGGCACTCAACAGCAACATATGTGTGTGTGTGTGTGTTTTAGGATGTGACAGACAATTGCTATTTACTTAAAAAAAATTTGGTTTGTTTAGCTATTAGTTTGTACACTGGCATGAGTTAGAACTGAACAAAGTCAATCGTTTTTTGCTGTTGCTTATATTTTTTGTATATAGCTCAGCATATTTATATTCTTATAAATCCTGTGAGTCAGGACAAATTCTCTAAATTTATCACTATCATTAAAGTTTTACCATTATCATCTATCTATATATTTTTATGCTATAGCTACTGGAGTACTAAGCCACTGGTGTGGTACTATAGGATAAGCACAGGACTGCTAGCCACAAGGTCTGCAATTCAAGTCCACCACCTTCTCCTTGGAAATTCTCTACAGGGTTTACAGGAGTCAGACCCTAGAGACAACACAGACCAACAATAACAGCAGCTGAAGATATCTCAGAGAAACTGCTTTTAGAGATTTTCTGTAAAAGGAAATAAAGTCAATAATCTGCTCCTAGTAATCAAACTGTATAGAAATTAATTTAATTCAGATTAGGTCAAAGTGGGAATATCTACTAAAATAACAGTAGTAACAGGAACTTGAAAATTTTCGTAGAACAACTTAAGAAGAAGAAGAAAGGGAAGCTGAGAAATGTTGTCAAACAAGTTGAAGAGGGGAAAGGAAGTGACATTTGTTGAGGGTCCATTATGTGACAATAACTGAGCAAAGTCATCTTCACAAATTTTCTCATTAAATTCAGGCAAGCACTCAGACAGATGCATATCATTAGTTTAGTTTAAAAACTTGCCCTAGTCAAGCCAACTTGCCCAAGGTTTAGTAAAGCATGTGAGCAGGATTCAAACCCAGGCCAGTCTAACTTTAAAGGCCATTTTCTTTTTTAAAATACAATATAGAATTTGGGGTTTCTGTCCCTTTCCAAAACGGTGTACAAAACCAAAATTAGTTTAAGCAGAGCCCAACTGACAGCGGGGGTCACAGAGTAAGGCCTGTTTTTATGCCCGTGAGCTAAGAATGTTTTCACATTTTTATAGGATTGTTAAAAAAAAAAAAGAATATGCAACAGAGACCCATATGTGGCCCAAAGAGCTCATAAAAGCCTTAAATATTTACAATCTGAACATTTACAGAAAAAGTTTGCCAACTCTTAATCTAGAGTAAAACTTGCTTTCATTTAACATTTTAACTGAATTTATTTATTTTTTCTCTGGACTAAAAAATAAAAATTATTTAATATTTGTCAGTTTCTTATGTATGAATGAATATACATAATAGCCTTGATTTTAGGCAGGGAATGCAACATTTATAATAATGTCTGATAGGAGTGACTATTTTCTTTTCAAGCACCTTTTCTGAATGTAGCAACCATTTCTTTTCTGCATGATTACCATGGACACTCCTGCTTACTTCCCTTCATTTCCATCCTAGTGCCTCTGATTTCCAATCCAGAGGTCTTCCTTACACTACACTGCCTCTCAAATTTCTACAAGGTACTTACTCGGTGTATTTCATCACTCCCCTTAGGCATATAGCATATAGTTCTTTACAATTCTGTGAGGTAGGTAGGAAAGTTGTGACATACTCAAATAGCATGACTGGCAAATACTGTTACCCAACATACTTTCACAGTGTCCAACTTATCTATACATATGTATAAGGGTGAGTAAAAAATTATCTGCACTATACCTGGAGAATTTCTTTTCATCTACTTTTAGAAAAGACAAATACATCATTTTTGGACGTAATCTTCTTGCTTTTTAATTATATTTTGTCCATCAGTCAACAAGTTTTCATATTCCCTTATCAAAAACTTTTAGGCTGAGCTGTGAGACACAAACGCACCGCTGACTTCACTTCTTATCAGGGGTGGATCTTTGTCCTCGAAGGGCTGCTTTCAGGGGACTAAGCAGGTGAAAGTCTGATGGAGCAAGATCAGGACTATAGAAAGAATGCAAAAAGAAGTTTTTGCAGTGTCAACAGTGTGGGCAGAGGTGTGTGGATGTGCATTAGTCATACAAGAACACGATGGATAGTAGTCCTCTGCATTTAATCTGAAGCTTAGGATCCAGCTCCGCAGCAAACCCCTCACTGTAGTAAACACTGTTGATTGTGGAACTTTTTTTGCTGGTAGTGTTCTAATACTGTCCTTTGAGAATTCCAGAAAACTGTAAGCATCAATTTTCCAGCTGATGGCTGACTTTTGAACTTTTTCTTGGTACGCGACTGAAGAAGTTTGCATTCCATACTCTGCCGTTTACTCTTAGGCTCGTAGTAATGAATTCATGTCTGGTCACCAGTAATGATTTTTGTAAAGAAACTTTTACCTTCCTTCCAGCTATTGTTGTTACGTGCTGCCGAGTTGATTCTGACTCATAACGACCCTGGAATAAGGTTTCTGAGGAGCAGGTGGTGAGTGTGAACTGCCCACCTTGAAGTTCAAACCAACCTTTCAGTCTAGTACATTATCCTGCAGCACTATACTATCAGTCCAAATGTCCACGTTCACACATGCACAGC